CAGGACTTGTCCCCAAGACCTTGTCTGGACTAAAGACAAAGGGGCTCTGGTTGGGGAAAGGTGTGCAGCAGGTCTGTGGTGTCAGATTTGGGGAAAGGGCTCCCTGTCCTGAGCCTGAGCAGAGGGCTCACAGCAAACCCTGGCATCCGGGCAGCTGACCTGGTGCCACAGGCAAGGGCTCAGCTTCCTCCCAGGGACTTAGGGTCGCACAGTGAGTGGGTGGGATTGCGTCTTGAGTTGATGGTGGAGGGAACTGAGGAGAAAGGGAAAGTGAAGAGGGGGTGACATGCTGAGAAGCCGTTTATTTCAGACAGGATTCTGTCTTCATGTAAACTCTGTCAGTCTTCCCACCACCCCTGGTGTAGGTGTCCTGGTCTTTCTACACAATTGCCTTTATGCTATGGGTGCTCTGAGCAACTGCAGGAGCTGGCGGTTGGCACAGTCCCCCTGGGATTGAGCTGATCTAACTCGGTTGCCTGTGCCCTTTCCATGATGAGCCTCCCTTTCTGGGGTTGGGAGGTGGGTCCCTAGGACAGCACTGTTGGGGGGAAGGTCTGTGCCAGGGAGGAGGGGCGAGAGCGAGCCCGTGCGGGGAGGACGCTGGTTCCGGGCTTTCTGTCTTTGCTCCCTGGACTCTCAGGCCTGTGGTCACTGGTCTCTGAGGTTCCGGGTTCCGTGGGAAATGGGACCTCAGGGGCGGGCGTCCTGACCGCTCTAAGGCGGGGCCTGGGTGTTAGATTGCGGGACCGCCCTCCCAGCCGGTGTCAGGCTCAGGGGGGCGGATCCAGGCCCAAGGGCATCCTGGAGACTCGGTCCCCTCTGTCCCCTCCCTACTCGAGGGCAGTTCCGTGGCCAAGGCAGGGACGGGGCAGGGGCGGGGTGGATAGAGGCGCTGGTTGGGGCGGGGCTGCAGATCTGTCCCTGGGAAGGTTCCTGGCGGGCTGGCAGCTCTGGAGAACAGCAAGGCCTGACAGGCTGCTCCCCGCAGAGGACTTCCTGTACCAGTATAAGCCCCGCTGCTACTACACCAACGGGACGCAGCGCGTGCGGATCCTGGAGAGCGTAATCTACAACCGGGAGGAGTACGCGCGCTTCGACAGCGACGTGGGGGAGTACCGCGCGGTGACCCCGCTGGGGCAGCGGCAAGCCGAGTACTGGAACAGCCAGAAGGACTTCATGGAGCAGAAGCGGGCCGAGCTGGACACCGTGTGCAGACACAACTACCCTATAGCTGAGGCAATAGCCTTGCACCAGCGAGGTGAGTGCCCCACCGGCCCCCTCGGCCGGGAAGAGTCTCCCTGCCCTGAGAGTGGCGGCTTCTGGGGCCCGAGCTCCAGCCACTGAAGGGACAGGGAGTCCAGCAGAGGAGAAAGGACCAGGGTCCCGACTGAGGGGGACCATGAGCGGGAATGAGGGGAGAGAGGGGACTGAGGGTGGGAATGAGGGGAGAGAGGGGACTGAGGGTGGGAATGAGGGGAGAGAGGGGACTGAGGGTGGGAATGAGGGGAGAGAGGGGACTGAGGGTGGGAATGAGGGGAGAGAGGGGACTGAGGGTGGGAATGAGGGGAGAGAGGGGACTGAGGGTGGGAATGAGGGGAGAGAGGGGACTGAGGGTGGGAATGAGGGGAGAGAGGGGACTGAGGGTGGGAATGAGGGGAGAGAGGGGACTGAGGTGGGAATGAGGGGAGAGAGGGGGACTGAGGGTGGGAATGA